GTAAAAATAATCACAAACACTAATTTTGATTAGTTAATTATTTACATGAGTCATGATTCATTGATTAAGCTGAACAACTTTGAATTAATCGATCACTTCACTATTTTGATCACTTCAATACTGCAATAATTAAAAACAGTAACAATCAGAAAGATTAACCTTTATTAGTTGATTATTTTCCTAACATTAATTGATTTAATCATAATTTCTGTTATTCAATTATTTGATATGACACTAATTAGTTTAATTGCAATTTCAATTAATAAATTCTATTTACATGACACTAACTGATGCTCATAGGTAATTGATTAAACAGATTAAATGTGTTTATTGCCCAGCTCTTGTAGAAAGCTTACAGAAGACTTTTTGAATAATATTAGGTGAGAATATTATTTTAAAGGTAAAAACACAGTCTTTTAATAATTTGTTCTTTGAATGAAAACACATTTTTAGGATTGAAAAAAACTGAATAACATGTTCCCAATGTGAACAGGGTATACAAAGTGTAAATAGATAATGTATGGATATAATTATAAATATAATGCTGTCCAGAATACAACCTAATCTCTGCCCTAACTGCATTGAGCTCCCTTCACTTGTTTCACTCTTAGTCCTTACAACCTTGGTATAGCTTATTCTATTCACCCCATTAATCCCAGGGAGGTAATAACACTTAAACCAGTGGTGTGTCACCTGCTATTGGGATGTTACAAATGCAATCCTGATGTAAATGTGGTGTCCAGACAACTGGCTATGATGTTCTTGGTTTTGATCTTATCTTTAAAGAGATGTTTTGGACATGAAAATCCATTAGTTACTTTTAACATGTGCAAATTGCCTGACACAATGTTGCAATTTTAACCACAAACAGTAGTGATAAATGCTACACTTTTAATGTTTACTTGAGCAAAAAACAAACTAACCAGTGTTGCAGTATGAAGTTAAAGGAAATGGCAATATTGCCTAATAGTAATTTTTCTTTGATATCAATCAATCGATCTATAATACTACTTAAAAGTGCAATGAGAGACATATTAAGAATTATGTATGCATACTCCCCTAGATAAATTGAACTATCTTGCAGTAACAAGTATAACGTTTATTTTTGCTGTGCCATTTTATAAGAAACCAAAGATAGATTCAAGAGAGTGTAACCATATTTGAAGTGATGATTTTATTGGAAAAGGAAATAATCTAACTTAGGAAGAAAAATAGATATTATATGCTAAATAGAACAAACTGATAACAATAGATTATGCATTTAAAATGTACAGAAAATTTTTATTTATTCTTTTTTCCACAGTAGCCTCCTCGTGCTGCAGCGTTTTTTTTTTCAAGCAATTAACATACGTTGGTTTCATTGATGCTAATCAAGTGTTGAGGATAAAAGTTAAACACAGTCTGTAGGAAATTGAGCACAATCTTATTTCACAAATTGGAATTTGGTCCTCACTTGGTATACCTGGATGTGTAACACTAAAATGCAACAACTGACAGTCTTCAAACGTCTTAGTCAGTTGTACAAATGATCATATTTATGTACATGAAAAAATAGTATCTATTTCATCACATCTGCTTTAAAAAAATACAGTTGTACTGCAATCAGAAAATGAATTAAAATGTATGATTCTAAAAGCATAATTTGAACAACATGCCGACAATTTATAGTAATTAAATTTTTCAATTTTGTACAGTTTGGTATCAAACTATCAATGTGTAGCAAGATACACAGTATGTACAGATTAAGTTTAAAAACTGAATTACCAGTTACAATATTCAGGATATAAAACTGCTTGTAATACACACAATCATATTCCTATAGACGAAACCATTTTAACTCGTAGATAAAGTCCTAATATACAATTAATTTGCATTACTATCTTTTACTTGACTAACTATGCTAAAGGATAATTCTAACTTTCACGTTATCAATAATATTTTCTCGAAAATCAAAAAAACATGTTGCTAAAGAAATCTGAATAAACACTTTATAAACTTGGAGATTTAGTGAGGGGTGTTAGTATGTTAGACACAGAACATTCACATTTTCTTAAGAATAAATTAATATTCAAAGGACAGATCCCAAATACTGTACAAGAAAATTAAAAAAAAATGCATCAACAACATATCAAAGAATCATGCCAAAAATCTAAGAATGAGTTTGGGTTTTTATTCAAAATTTTTATTTAATGTTCAAAATTATACAGGAACAAAAATTATATATATATATATATCTTATAACTTAATACAGAAAACAATACTGAATGATGTATTCACATGGATTTCAGATGCTGTTCTGAATAGGCTACTTACATCTGAATACACTATCCCAGAAAAAGACCTTTAAAAGCCAGTCATTTTAAAGTTCTTCTGTTAATTATGTATAAGTCCCAGATAAAATTTAAGTCATTTTATCAATCCTGTAACTGATCATGAGAAATTTAACAACAAATAAACTTAAATATGACAGTGTGTTAAAGAGTGTCAGAGAGAACTATAGGGGCACTCAGTAGAGCACATACCTCTGCCATGCAGCATTGATCATACTTGGCTCTTAAAAAATATCAAAATGTGTCCGTGTGTCCATTATCAACAGACACAGACCATGTTTCGTTGGATAATGAAGAATACTATTGTACATATGTCCACCAAGTTTCATCAAAATCCAATCACTTTTTAACTGAGTTATAAAGCAAATATGGTGTGAAAAATTGGTCCCCATGTAAACAGACAGGTATTTTTAGGATTTATGTGACCTGTGACCTTGACTCTCCAAAACTCATCACTTCTAAGTTGGGTTATAGACCAAATGTATAACAACTTTTGTCCAAATCCATTCAGCTGTCTGAGAGAAATGTAGCATGAAACGTCTTAAAATATCAACCATACAATGTCATTATTTTGAAGACAGCAATAACAGAAAATAAGTACTAATAGTATATGGTATACTATTATAGTATGGTATAGGGTATATGGTGTTTAAAATTAATTTAGCCAGAATTAATTTTAAATTTAAGATAGATTTACTGATAGTTAGCATTCTGTTTAATGCAATAAGCTCTTGAAGTTGAACAAATCCTTTTGATATATATACAGGATAGATAACTGTTTGAAAGTTTGCTTTGTGTGTGTGTGTTTGTAATTAAATACAAAGCTACACAATGGGCTATCTGCTCTGCCATGGGTATCAAACCCTGGTTTCTAGCATTGTAAGTCCACAGACATACTGCTGAGCCACGTGGGGGGGGGGGGGGCACAAGATACTAGATATGGTTCCATTTTTCATCTGGAAAACAGGAAAAAACACAGAAAAATAGTTTTCCATTTTTTATTTGAGTGAACGATTCCTTTTGATTGGGAATACTTGTATGCAGGCAAAACAGTTAACAGTTTAAGATATATTTGAAACTTTTATATCACAGAAGTACGACAAACGATTTGAGAATAAAAATATTTTATCCGTATGGAAGGTAATTGGAGGAGTTATATGATATACGATATGTTATTTACATTTGTGTATCTCGTCTAGGCAAAATGTTTTTTTTTTTGCTGTCGTTGTTGTAGAAACAATATTACATGTTTTCAGATAATTCTTTTTGCTCTGTATAAAGGACATTGGTGGTAATTTAATGACTCACAACATTTGATTTAATGCTGCTTTAAGTGCCAAAATTATGCTTTTTGATATTTTAGTCGCCCTTTAATGTGACCGAGTTTTTTGAAAATCCAGGTACAACAAGTTCACGCCCTGTCTATTGCCTACATAACATTAACAAGAAACATCTATAAATTTCTGACAACACTAATAACAGCGTTGTACAACGAGTATCAAGTCAGTGAAATAATTGACACAAATATGATTATCAAACTTAAAAAATTAAAGTTAAAAAATACAAACCTGGGGCAGTGCAGTCCGCACATACCTCTGCAATACTCCTAAGTTTTCCCCTAGAAATCATCACTTTTCTGCCTATTTTTGTTACAGAAGTGATAATTTTTTATAAAAATAATAGTAACTTCACTACAGGATTCATTACATATCAGAATGAGGAGGAGATCAACAAAAAACAGGAAGTACACAAAAACAATCCGTCAAATATTTACAAATATCTTCACGATCTTCGTGCACTTTCACTGAAGCAGTAAAAGTCCTGCCCGCTTATGATTCACCCGAATAATCCAATCATTGTATTCGACCACTTTCCGATTGTTACACTAATAAACATGAAGTCGTCATTTTTTATCAAATTTCTCTTTGTGCGGTCTGGATCACACCGTCCAATCAAAGCAGCGGACATTCTGGTATTTGTGCATACTTTTACTTATTCCGGATGTTTATTTACAAAGTTATGGGACACGTTTCTGAAACAATAAAATGTATAGCAAAACATAAAAATCATGTTTGTTCAATATAAGTATTTTACAAGTTCATTATATGCTCAAGTTAATCTAGTATGAAAAATCTCAAAAAATGTAATAACTCTTCTTTCGTCTTGTCAGCAAAATCCCCCTATAATTCATTGCGACACCTAGCGTTTTCTAAAAAATGTTTTAAAAACAAGTTAATTGTAGATGTTTTTTTTTTCTATTACATTCCTCCATTGCGTATAGAAATAATAGGTGTTTAAAAAATAGTATATCTGATCTATATTTTGTCTTTCATGAATCATTGCCCAATACCATCAGTTGGGCTCGAAGATGAGATAAAAAATCTGCAATTAACTTGCTTTTATAATAGGTTTTAGGCCTATTAGTTTTCCAATACTTTGCTGGTTTTTGGCGTTTTAAACTTTAACCAAGCGTTTTTTACTTGACGAATTTTTAGAAAACTGGCGTAACGTAACTCGAATAATTCGGCGCTTTCTATCCTACTACGATCGATCAACGAGGTCAATGTAGCAACCAGAGATAGACAGAAGATAACAACTAAACTATTCGAGTTGGAGTTAAACGGACGGACAGCGGCAGAATATAACGATTAGATAATTTAGGTTCGTAAATTGCAATAAAACTAAAATCTAAATTTATAGCCTGGAATTTTTATAAAAAATAAATTTTCCAATTCATCATTTGAAAAGATAATATAAATTTAAACCATTGTTTGACAAAAGTATGTGTCTGTATTCATTTATAAAAGCACTGGA